CTAAAGTGCGATTTAGTAATGCTCCGTTTGATACAATGAAAAATAGAAGGATGAGGTAGGTAAAATATCGTATTTGGTAAGGAAGAAAAATAGGAAGGATGAAAAAAGTAGATGTATGAGCATTCCTTCCAACTCACCAAAATCAATCATTTCAAAATCAAAAGAAAAGTAGATGAAAAATTAATTATTTGTGTTAAAATGTATCTTATTTGTCTATATATAATTTAATATATAAATATGTATACATTAATTTCATATATAAATACAATGATAAAATATGTATTTATATTTTTTTAAAATTAAAAATTAAAAATTAAAAAAAATAAAAATAAAAATATTTTTTCCATCTTACCAAGCACAAAAAAAATTAATTATTTTTATTTTCCATCAATCCTACTAAATACAAATGAAGGAAAATATATCATTCATATTTTTCTTCTTTGGAGGATAAAACGTTTATCCCTGATACTTTTCATTCTTCCTACCAAACGGAGAATAAAAGTTTGAAAGAATTGGAAAAGTGGCTACTTGGAAACAAGTTGAGTAACATTCTTCTTTTCGATATGCGGTGTTAAGCAATAACATTTTAATTATTCATGAACAAGAACTTATTCAAGTTGAGCCTAGTCGAGGTTTCGAGTGAGGTGTGCCAACCGACAAGGCCTTGAATCCTCAAGTCCCGACCGACAAGGACTTGATTCTTCAAATGCCAACTGGCTGTGCCAACTGACAACAATGCCAAAAGGTCTTTCCCATTAACTTTGATATTTTGTGCCTCCCAATTGCCCCCATGCCTCTTTTAATTGATAAAATTAATTGAGGCATGTGTTTTGAAGAGTTTGGACTTTGTGGGTCTGTATTGTCTATGAAGGCTTTAAGTTTCTTTTCTCTCTTCTCCTCTTTTCTTACTTCCCTTTGTGTTTCTTCACTTGATTCATAGGTTGGATCTTGGCTAATAAAAGAAATGGAGAGGCATTCATTGTTGGTTGTATATGAGACTTACTTTGCTCATAAACTAGTCGAGTGATAAGAGTTGTTCGATAGTCAGGCCAAGTCTTGATAGGGTCAAGGTAGATATACTTGAGAAACAACTTAAGGATTCCAAAGTGACGAATGCCTTCTTGAAGAAGAAGGTTACTGAGGTAGAGATTCGAGCTAGCGAGCTTCAAGAGAAACTTGCTAAGGATAAGAGGGAAAATGCTGAGCAAGTGAAGAATATTGTCTACGATCGTTACTCCAAGATCTTTGGACAAAGTCAAGAAAAAATATACAAGAAAGAAGAAAAAGTCCTTTAGAGATGGTTGGTGAGGAGCTCTTAGGCAGCCGGGATTGATGGGTCATATTCAGTTTGGGAGGACATTTTATGACCTAAAAGAAACTTCCAGATTCCTTGGTGGTGGTGATTCGAGTCTTCTAACACATGTGTCTCTTGTTCTGACTGAAAGGAAGGGTCCCCTCAAGTTGAGGGGTTGATGCTCGGAGGTAACAAATTCTTAAGAAAGGCTAAGTAGCTTACTGAGCAATTGTAGAAGTTGTTGGCCGTCTGTCGAAGATTGAGTAATTTAAAGGGAAACCTTAGATGTTGCATAGAGACGAAGTAGCCTAGGTCAGTCGTGGAGGCTACATGGAGACCAAGTAGTCTTGAAGGGCAACTTTAGGGGTTTGCTTAAGGTGCAACCACATAGATTAGCTAGAGGTGAAAGAGCCTGAAGGTACAACCACGGAGGTTGGCTTAAGGCGAAGGAGCCTTGAGGTGCAACCACAAAGGCTGACTTGAGGTGTAACTACGGAGGTTGGCTTCAGGTGCAACCACAAAGGTTGGATTCAAGTGCAACCATAGAGGTTAGCTTGCAATACAACCAAGGAAGTTGGTTGAGGTGCAATCATAGAGATTGGCTTGAGGTACAACCACAGAGCTTAGCTTGAGGTACAACCACAGAGGTTGACTTGCGGTGCAACCAAGGAGATTGGCTTGAGATGCAACTGCAGATGCTGCAATAATCACAAATAGAGGAACACTTAGAGTTGCGAAAAACAAACATCTCTTTATTAATCAACGAGAATGAGAAACAAATGTCTTTGAAGACTTATTAAAATTAGAAGACGTTGTTGACTAAGCTAAAAATAAAACTTAGTTATCCGGTTGGTCATCTGATTGGATTTGTTGTTCTTCCTACTCATTTGGTAGTCTTGAGTGCCCAACAATTCTTTGTCCAATGGTCTTTTTCCTTGTGATAAGAACAATGAAGAATTTGGTTCCTCTTTAATGGATCTCGTATTATCTTAGGTGGCCACCTAAAATGCTCCTTATATTTGATTTGGTTCAGGACTTGATAGATAGGTTCCTTGAAAACAGTGTTGGCTCATTGGTACGAGTCTCTCAATCCCATGGATGACCTGTCTCTCCTTGATGGGTTGGGAGTGTTGTCTTTCTCCATCTGATTCTTCTTTGGCAGTTGGTTGACTGGTCCCTTGTCGTCCTCCACCTTCACGTACCTCTTGATATACTCCTACAAGTGTGACATCATCATTCAATAAGAACATAACAAGTGAGTGAGTAGATCGCACATATTTTAAAAACCACCCCTCTATATTATTTGATAACCATATCATGTAACAATGTGGGGTTTACTTTATCTATTTTATTGTGTTTCTATTAGATGTTGACCCTTGTAACATTGATAACGTGGTATCACAATTTTACTGAATATTTGTCCCTATGTCACGTGGACTTGAGCATGAGCATATGTGTGCATGTATATGTGTCAGGGGTAGTAGTTACAGTGGTAGTGATGACGGTTAAGGGAGGAAGGTGTTGGAATGCCCTCTTTCAATTATGGGTATTGGTGATTTAATAAAAGTACTTACATAAAAATAATGTGCGTGTTGGTTGTTGTCTCTTTTCATTTGGACCTCCTCAAGGAAAGCAAATTGAAGAAGCACCTCACTATGAGATCATCCCCACATGACGATGATAACGTGATGTCACTATTGTAATAAATATCTTCTCGTAACATAGTATGACTACATGGAGCTATTTTGGTGCTAAATAGCTCCTTGGCAAAGAAACATATTTTTTGTGTCCTGATTTTGTGTCTATAGTACCCCATAAATTCAGGACACATGTCCACACCATAAAAAGATAAATGGAAAGAGTTGACAACCTATATGGCAGTGTGATCCAACATGGTCCAACATGATTGGTACAGACAACAATGCTACGACAATATTCTAGCGTTGTGGCAGGCATCAAAACTGTGACAACACCATATTACTGCGATAGGCACCCAATGCAGCAGTAGGCACCATGATTGCAAAGGATAGAACCCATTCTCATCACATTGGAAGCACCAAAACTGCACTGCAAGGGTCAGGGCGCAACCTTGGTGTGACTCGGCTTCCCCACTGTGAACATAAGGGACAAAGCTAGGACTTTACAGCTGACAAAATTGGTATCCCCAATCTATTGGACACCATTGCTCAACTAGCTTATTGGACTAGGAGGAAGGGTTCTCACTTAGGGATTAAGTAGTATGACTCTCCTCAAGAGAGAATTGAGCAATGGGAGTAGATGAACATGATTGTCAACTTCGACTTGGGGCAGGGTCTTGAAGGTTTAGTTTGTTCAAGTAGACTTTCCAATGTCTGGTTCACTGCCCACTAAGACATACTTGACTAAGATCGAGAGAGATTCCTAAGATAACTAGAGTCATTGGTCTGGATCAACATCTGAGGCATTGGGGTATATGGATTGGTGGCTAAAGGACTGAAACTATATTTTTTTTTTTTGAACCTCGACGGTGCGAGAAAATTTTATTGATTAAAAGATAAAAATACACGTAGTTAGGGGAGACGTATGTACCTTACCTCTCGATGCAAGCTAAATACATGAAAGTACTAAAATAAAAGAAAGCAAAGTGCATGCTAAGTAAATAAATAAGAGCAATTTAAACACCTAGACATGCTGCCTAAAATAGCAATGGCCCTGCTGATGTAGTAACGAATAACAGTAATTGAGCTAGGGCCTGAGTTAAGAGCCATAAATGGAGGACCAGCTAAGGACAGCAGCTAAGAGCAGTTGCCAGAGTAAGGTGAGAGACCAGCTGAGAAGCTGATTAGGAACGCCCCTATCCAATAAGACAGATGATCGGTCTTATCAGGTTCTGAAGCCACATGATAACCTGTTCTGTCTATTGAGAGGCCATTTGACTGATCTGGGAAATTTGAACGACATGGGGTATTCAAAGAGAGGTCTGATATCAGAGAGAATTGAAACTATATGAGTTTCCTCTATCGTAGCACATTGACAAATGTTTTGAGTCAGAGAGAGAAGAGAGGACCCTAGGTCAGAGCGCACTGGGGGCATCGTGTACATGGCTCTCTTGAGGTCATAGTCCCGCAGTGGCCTTTTGCCTCGGCTATAACACCCTCCCCTAGGGCCGTACTAGGGCTGTGTTTAGGAAAATGTCACTTCTACCTAATTAATATTGGGACATGTCGCTGATGATTAGTGGCCACTAGTATCGTCACGGTTGAGATAGTTGTGGGTTGACACAAATGTTAGAGGGTCGCGACGGGCAACCCGACATGCCCAGGCACTATGCTATACATATCTGCATTACTTGCCCACTGAGGAGGATGAATTTTACTACTTTGCTGGTGAGAACATTTACTCCACCTACACTCTGCTCAACTGGTTGGTTCCTTCATTAATAGGTTACTTGAATTATTTTCATCCTATCCATTTATCTTACTCATTCTTTCGATTATCTTTGACATAAACACGTATATCAGCCTCTTTTAACTCTCCACCTATAATGTCCACTTGTGAAAAGAACAAGTTAAGCAAACAAGCATTCATTTGCAAAACTTTGCAACACAATCGAATATCTTGAATATTATGCCCATCTAATTACATGATTTGATTGGAAATTGAGATAGATTACAACTCTGCTCGTCTGGTAAACCAGAAAGTCCAGAGGGATACCAAAATAAGACCTGTTACAGCATTATTAACTGGTTAAGCAAAACCACACAACAAACGAAAGCATACTGTCCATCCACTGTTTATGATGTTCGATGATCAATTTACCAAAAGAAGAGATAACTGGTGGGTGGCATCACAGGGCATGCACAGAGTTCATACATGAGGAAATTGGCTAGTCAAAACTCAGCTATTTTCGTGATATCGAAATAGCAACCAGTAGGACCTCCCTCAGGTGGGAGAGCCAACATGACTGAACCTTTAGCTCCCTCTTCGACTGTCATCATTCCAGTGTGCCAATTCAGGTCTGTCTTGACATATCCAGGGTGGATGCAGTTTATGCACATGTTGGGGTATTTCTTGGCAAGAACTCTAGTGTAGGTATTGAGTGTTGCCTTTGATATGCTATAAGCTGGCACCATTTCTGGCCACCCGTTGCCTCCAAGTTTGTCTTGCTTTATATCGTGCAAGAATTTTTCCAGTATCCTACCGATTTTCGCTTCAGTTTCAGTGTCTATTTCACCAAGTTCTTTTCGTATCTGCTCACTGGGAATCCGCTGCATATATATCGATTAACCAAAATTTTGTTAGTCAATCAATCTGTTTAATACATTCATGGTTGCAGCACATAGGAACAATAATATACAGATGAATTTTTATAGAAAATACTGTCTTCTAACCCAGGACCAATATCTTGTTTCATTTCCACAGAAATGACAGATACGTTTCGGTTTCATGTCTCAAAACTGAAACAAATCAGTGATTTAATAGTTATGATGATAGATTGACGATAACACTCCTACCCTCAATTCACCCCTGAGGGAAGAGACATTCACTATCCTTGCTCCTGATCTAGAAAGCTGTAGAAGTGGAAGAAGAGCCTCTGCTACTCTCTTGCAACCATAGTAATTGGTGTCAAAACATTCTTTTGCTGATTCATATGTTATCTTTATGAAACCTTGAACCAAGTTGGCTGCCTTGCCTGAGAGCTGTATTATACAAGAATAGGCTTAGGATTATGGGTTAACTTAATTTGTAGCTGGTGTTAAAAAAAAAAAGCATGAGGGGGGTCTCTAGCAATAGCTCACCCATGATTTAGGATCTATGTTAAGGGCCATTAGGGCATCCATGTCCACCGTTGCTCCAGGAGCTCCAGCATTGTTTACCTGCAGAAAATTAAGTGCTCAATTTACCTATCCATGCCTGTGAGCAATGTAGAAATTATAGTGAAAACATGTATTTAAAGATTTCTGAACTGGAATTTTGCTTTGCAATTGATTGGCTGTACTAGGACGTAATCATTAATGTTCGATTAACCTACACTTTATCTTGTATAATTTGATGCATGAAAGACATAGTTATCGTAGTATTAGTAATCGACTCGAAGAAGTGGGTTATTTCTTAGCAAAATTGTGCTTAACTTTATATCTGACAATTCCGCCAAGTTTTCTTTGTTAGTTGGGGGGAGAATCCAACAAAATAGAGTTATTGATGGAGCGTATGGAGAGAGAATTTGATTTAGTTGGACAATGTGTGTGGTTGTGTTGTTTTTATATCATAAGTTGGGAGGATGAGTAGAGATTTACAAATATGTCAAGCCTCCCAAACTGGGTTTGTATGAACTGGGCCAATGATTCTACGCTCTCCGGGTCTTGAACATCAAGCTTATGGAAGACCACGTTCGACAAACCCGATTGGCGGAGCAATGAGGTGGCTTCCATACCCTTCTTCTCATTTCTGGCTGTTAACATCACCGTCACGCCTGCGTTCGCAAGCTGCCGGACGGTCTCGAGGCCGATGCCCTTGTTGGCTCCGGTGACCACTGCATACCTATAAACACAAACACCAGCAAAACTATGATGCTACTTGAAAAAATGAAATTGAAGTATTGACGAGAACGCAAACAAAGAAAGTATTGAAGAGAAGTCCTTACCTCTCCTGATCCTTCTTTCCATTGACTACCATTATTGCTTCAATGTCCTTACCGTATGAAGAGATTGTAGTTTTATAACTACAGGCTCGAATATAACTTAATATAAAGAGAAGGGATTTTTGCACTTTATATCCCAAAAGATGTCTTAATTTCCACTTTATACCTTGAGAGATTATTTTTCTCATTTTGCACCCTAAATATCATAAATTTGTTCTAATGTGGCATTCGGATTAACATTTATTTTAGATTTCGTTAAAAATTGATGCATATGCCACTCAAGAATATAAATGATAAGTTTATATTTTTGTCTAAGAGCAACATACGTGAATGACATGTGCACCAAATTTTAACGGAATTTGAAACAGATGTTAGTCTGAGGGCCACATTGGAACCAATTTATGACATTTAAGGTGTAATGTAAAAAAAAAAAAATTCAGGATATAAAATAGAAATTGACACATTTTTCAGGGTACAAAATATGAAAAACCTTAAATAGAAACAAAATTCATGCAACCAAATCTAAATAGTTGAGATAAAAAAAAATTAGAGTCTAAATAGGGAACAAAGTCGAACAAATTGTGGAATCATATAAAGATGACAACCATATTGTGGAACACTAACATAGAAGTCAAATTTATTTATCGTGAATATTTTAGTCTCAATGTGAATAATTTATCTTTGACCGGATAAGAAAAGAGATTAATCAAAGTGCGCATAAAGTGGTTCAAACACCCCTGAGCGTTTGAATGTATATATATATGTCAAACATTACATTAGTAACAAATCTTAATTAATAATAGGACCTATTGTCAATCTAAGGCCGAGAGTGGTTAAGTCGACAAATTGAGTTACTGCTCCTAGCAAAAACATATCTGGTGATTATTATTCAAAAGTGATATACATAATGTGCTTAAACTTGGAAAAGTATACAAAAGTTTGAAACTAACAATGCTGTTTTTTCTGTTTTTTTGAAAGATTAAATATGTAAAAAAAAAAAAAAACTTAAAAAATGGGGCAAGTAGCAGTTTGCAACCCGAAGGATTAAAAAAATTTAATTTGCGCCCTCAAAAATCAATTATTTTAAATTGTACCATCAATTGAATTAATTGGTAGCGATGTAACCTCAACCATAACGTTCATTGCGATTTTCATCAAATTGTTAGCCACGTTAAATGCATGTCATGACTTTTATCAGATTATGGTACTTTTTCTTTTCACATGTGTCTCACGTGTCTGTCAATTCAATAAAAATCGTCATGGACGTATGATGTTCATTTCAATTTTCGTCAAATTGATAGCCACGTGAAATGAGTGTGATAACTTTTGTTAGATCATGACCTTCCTCTTTCCACGAACATTTCACGTGACTATCAATTTGATGAAAAATCACAACGGACGTTATGACTAAGGTCACATTATTACCAATTAATTTAATTGAGGGTGTAATTTAAAATAATTTATCTTTATGGGTGCAAATTAAATTTTTTTTAATCTTTCGAAATGCAAACTGACATTTGCCCTAAAAAATGGTTACCTATAAATGGCAAACATCTTAATTTTGATGTAAAATATCTCTCGTGTGCCGTTTCTGTTCTGTTCCCCCAAATTGTGAGGAGGAAAATGCCAAATTCAAAGTCCAAGTTTGGTCATCATGTTCTTGTAGTTTGGCCGTCCTCATATTTTGGGTTAGATAGTCAATTGGGTCACTGTGAGAATGATGCAAATGGCAAGTTGATAATCACCCCCGAATATGCTCTTACAAAGTTTTTGTTTTTTGCCCTTAAGCTCCGGCTACACGATGCTAATTTGATCAAGTACAAGCATAAGTCATTGAGAATGAGTGTAATTTCTAAATTAGTGTTGTTGTTTTATGGACTTCATGGATTTTTCGACAGAAGATTGTCAGTGGAGGATTTGATTAAGAAACAATGGAGTTTTGATGTTGAATTTTTTATTTTTTTTTGGGAAAATTACGCTCAAATCTCTTGAAATTTGTCACTTAATCACTCAGATATCTTAATATTTAAAATATTATACACAGACTCTTTGAAATTTGTACATGCATAACACTTAGAACTTTACTATCAATATCCGTTAGTAAATTATACTCAGACTCCCTAAAATTTATAAGGGTATAATATTTAGATCCCTCAAGTTTAAAATGTTGTACTTAAACCAAAAAAATACTCCAATCAAATATAGAATACCAAATTTTTAAATTTTACAATCAAAATTCATATTCTATTATATCATTAATTGAAATAAAATCAAAAATAAAAATCTAATTTTTCTTAAAAAATCGTAATTATTATACAATTATACTATTTATTGGAATAAAACTAAAAAATCAAACCAAAGATCTAAGTAATTCATAATAGAACATGAATTTTACAACCAAAATTCATGTTCTATCATGTCATTTATTAAAATAAAATCAAAAATAAAAATTAAATTTTTCTTAAAATATCATAATTAATATACAATTATAACCTTATTTGCTGTATCATGGAACTTATAACCTTATTTGTATTATTCATTTCCTCTTGTATGAGTTTTAGAATCTTCCATATGCTACAAAAATACAAATTTGCAGTGGGATCAATATTAACTTCCTAAAAACAACGTCATCATGTCATGAAAAAGTTTGAGAAACTTTGCTATCATTTCATTCATGTTCCATTCCTCTTGTAATGGGCAATGTTTGGAAGTTAGTATCAATCAATTGATAGTGACAAAACGTATAATAAAACACTTCCAAGCCTAAGATAAGTTGAATTCTATCTTGTTGGCACATCTTGATTACCACTTTTTATAGATAATTGTGCAATACATTTTTGCAAACTTGATCATCCTTCCCTCTCTACCCCTAACATAAGTGATACTTTCTTGAATTCTCGATTACCGCACAAACGAGCACACACATATACGTATGCATTTTTCTGAAACATTTCATTGGGAAAGACATGGAAAAAAAAAGTGTCGAAGCAAAGTGGTGACAATGCTGAATGTAAATGGTATATGAAGACAAATGAAGGAAGCATACCTACAGTAACGTAAAGAACACTGAAGCCGCCGAGGATAGAGGATGTATAGATAATTTACGCGGGGAAAAGCAGGCCTACAAAGTGAAAAGCAGATGGTTATGGCCGCCTAAGTACTGAGATTAAGATGAATAAAACAATTCTATTCTCTTGGTAACTTCACCTAGAAATGGAACGTGCTTGGAATAATACTGATCAGACAGCATCACCAGCAGCTGGATATGTATATTCCACTCGATTATATAAAATTGTTGGTCACAGCACTTACCCAAGATGTACATTAACTTGCAATAATCTTGTGTTTAAAGATACTATACAAATAAAAAATCGAACTGATCTTATAATATTTATATTTTAAATAACAATTTAATTTTTTAATTACGTATTTTAAAATTAAAAGGAAGAGAGAGGTAAGTGTGGATTGATAAAATTGTTTGACATTGAGGATCATGCAAAAACATTAATGTTTTTGGGCAAAAAAAAAATTTGGAATAAATTTTATACCATTGGATCAAAGCAAATAAATATTAGATTAATTCTTACTGTTGTTGTACTTTTATAAGTTAAGAATTCAACTTCTTAGCTGTAATATTAAATAAATGACTATTAATTCGAACCACCTCTTAGAAATCATTCAAGAATTAATGATAACGTCTCTAATACGATTGTCTCCTATATTTTTTTTTATTCTATATGAGTAACGTTATTGGAACCTCAAAAAATCGATTTAATTTATTGACCTAATGATATATCAATTAATAAAGTTCCGATTAAAAAAATAGAGTAATTACAATCACAATAATTCTATTAAACTATATCACTGTCATATTATTAAGTTAATAAATTAAGTCAATTTGTTTAGTCTAAATAGTATTACTCATTCCATATTAACTTTTGTTGGTAAGAAGAGAATAATATGAAGCCGGGTTTTCGATTCTCAATTCAAATTCTTCTGTGAACTTAAGACAAAAGAAAAATAATTATTCCTTAGCCTAGGTATGTCAATAGATCGAATTTGAATTGGATTTTAATTGATCTAAATTTAAACTTAAAAGTCTGAACTAAATCCAATCCAATTGAAATAGCATAATTTAACAAAAATTTAATAAATTATAACTAATTTTAATTAATTTTTTAAAATAATTAGTTAATTTCTTTAATATTCATATAAAAATATATACATATTTTAGATTGGATATAGGTTATTAAATAGACATTTAATTAGACTTAAATTTATTGTTAGGCTTTTAATTTTAGGTATCATTAACTCTAATTTTATTTTCAAGTTCCCAAATAAATATTTGTACATTCAAAAAAAAAAAAAAAAAAAAATATATATATATATTGCACCATATTACTCTACAAAAAATTATGAGACTCTGCTATCTCATTTTATTTGAATTCTCCATAACTTTGAATTAAATTTTTTTAAGATAATCTTAATCTTAAAATAATCATTCACATAGTGTGTTGTTTTGCTAGTTGTTTTCGACCTTAAATATACCTACTAAAATATATGAATTTAAATATTTAAAATTAAAAAAATAACCAAATTATTCGCCTATAGATAATTTAGGGACTCATCTAAAATTTTTGCCTGAGGCCTCAAGTATTTTTGTGCACAATGAAATTGCTCCTCAAAAAATTATTCATCGTTCAACTAATTAAATTTTTAACAGTTACATGTTGAAAAACATCTCTTAACATAAAGATACACATGCTTATTCTTGTCCCCTAGTGTAATTAAAAAAACTTAAGTTAGACTTGGTACTACACTGGCAAGTGTTTATTTGCTCAAATAATTGTTTGCAAGTTCGACTCGATTAATCAATTAGTAGTAATGATGCCTATTATTTACTTCTCATATACCCGCCATAGATGATGGAAATTTTGGGCATTTGGTACGACTTTTTTGTTTACATTAACAGAAAAGAATAGAAAGAATTCCAAGTAGGTGCATGAAGAATACAATACAAGACACAACTCTCATGGATTCCATGTTAGACTTGTTCATTGAAAGTTGGCAACTGTTTCATCCATAATAATACACGCTTTCTACATTCATTAGACATCAAGGTGCCCATTCATTACCAGCTCCCAATAACACCACACACTGCAATAACTTATGGAGAACAATTTTGTGGGCCCTTTCCTCACATGGGTTAGAAATTTAGGTAGCAGATCACAGTCTTTGGTTGCTTCTTATTTACTAGTTTTATGAAATGCCTGTATGCCTTCTAGATATAAATTTCACATCACTTGCCGTGCATTCAAACAGAAGTTTTTTATGCTAGTGGATCCCATGTTACCGATAAATTTTGATTAGATTGTAGCATTGACCAAAAAAAAAACCTTTCAAAGGGGTTGCGTTTGAGCCTAGTAGTCACCCGTTACATTCCGAAATAGTTGTTCACCACTTTAGGTTTCTTTTTCTACAACTTGTTGTGCAAGTTCTCTCTTATCTAGGACAAAGGTTACACCTTAGTTGCTGTGTAGCTTCATTTGTAATTCAGAGATGGTATAATTATTCAATAATAAATTTATAATGGAACAAAGTAAATTTTACTTGGTAATTATTTTCATACATGGATAGAGTAGTTACTAAATTAAATAGAGTCTACCTGCTTACATATTGATTTGTTAAGGGATAGTTCAAACAGCAATATGAACGAATTATAAACTCAAACGTCTTGAGTTCAAAAATTGACAACTCTTTAAAATCTAAGTATGAAAGATTTATCTATCGTGAATACCTTAATTCCAGTGTGAACATAGCAATTTGGACATAGCATCACTGCTACATCCAATATTTTCTCCATCGTCTCCCCTCCCTTGTTTCAATGTGTCCAAAAAACAATTTTGCAATATGCTATAATATGAAATAATTACATAACAACCCTTCTAGTTTTTTACCTTTTCACTGCACTCCCTTGTTTTTAAATTACACTGAATCCTATAGAACACCATAACTTGTAACAGACTGCCCCTTTTGTCAAATTTAATCTAATTAATGGCTTGAATTACTTATTTTACCCTCATATTTTCTCTCTTATAGAAAAAAAAATTAGATGATCAAGCTTGCCAATACATATGACAAGAAATAGTTAGTCTAAAATTTGCTCATGTAGACAAAATAAGGTCGCTGGATCTATCAATTCTAATAAAAACAATTACCCAAACATCTGCTTCTTTATTCATTCTCCAAATTTTTTCCAAAAAATCTAACAAATTCTCCAAAACTTTGTCCACCTAATCAACTTAAAAAAATTTAGCAATACTTTTAGTGAAATTTTGGTATTGATAAATTAGACAATCCGATGTGGTTTGCAATAGAACAATTCTAATTAATTGTTTTTTTTTGTATATATTGACAAATTTGATTGTCCAATTTAAAGTAACTAAAAATCGTGGTCAAACATTGGTTTAGTCACTCAAGGGTAAAATAAGTAGTTCAGGTTATTAGATCGATTAAATATGATTGGAGGAAAAATCTGCTACAATTTATCACATCTTAAGAGGTTAGTGTAATTTGAGAAAAGAAAGGGTGCAGTGAATATATAAAAAATAACAGGGGGTTCTCATTCTAATTTTTCCTTATAATATTGGTATACTAGTTGTTGTCTGTGCCTGAAGACACAGAATAATAAAAAATAAAAAATAAAAAATATATTTGTATTCATATTTAAAATCAAATCACAAATATAGATAAGAGATAAAATAATTTAAGCATCAATTTGTAGTGGAGGTGAGAGGTAGTGGGTAAGAGACGGTGATGGTTGTGGTAGGTGACAATGACTGTGTTAGTGGTGGCAATGGTGGGGGTGGAGGTGGCGGCGACGGCGGTGGTGGTGGGGGTAGCGGTGGGGGTGGCGGCGACAGTAGTGGTGACGGTGGTAGTGGTGGTGGTGATGGTGACGGTGGTGGCGGCGGTGGCGGCGATGGTGATAGAGGTTGTGGTGAGACGGTTTTAAATACTATTTTTAAAAAAATATATATTTATAAGAAATAATTTGTAGAAGTACTTTTAAAAAGTCACTTTAAACACATCTATATGGGTCTATATTTCTTATTAAATTTAAGATGTTAATATTAGCCGTTAGATTAGTTCTAAAGTAAAATTTAAAGCGATCTCAACTACGAATAGTAAAAGTCATTTTATTTACTTTTAAAATTTGAATTATAAATTATTTTATTATATATAAATTACCTTAATAGTACATGTGTGAACAGAAAGAAAAAAAAAAAGTGCTTTCGCCTCACTACCTATGATGGTTAGATCACATTGAACCACAAAAAAAAAAATAGGGATAAATTATATTCGGATCTCTTTTCATTTATTAGAAGACAAATGCTCGAACTGTTCTACTAATCCCCTTCTCCTCTCCCCTATCTTCTCTACTCAAACCCATTGTAACAAAAACATAAACCACATCAATGGCCACCACCAAAACCACCATTATTGCATGGACTCTCCTGGCCACGGCGGTGGTTCTAATGACACTTCCCAGTACCAAAGCACAATCGCCTGCGGCCGCGCCAGGGCCATCACCACCGTCGGCTGTGGCGGCGCCGGGGCCGTCATTGGATTGTACGAGTTATTTGCTAAACGCGTCGGACTGCCTGAGTTTTGTGGAGGCCGGAAGCAACCTGACGAAGCCGGAAAAAGGGTGTTGCCCGGAGCTGGCGGGGTTGGTGGAGAGCCAACCCATCTGTTTGTGCCAGCTGCTTGGGAAGTCTGATAGCTTCGGAGTCCAAATTGATGTGAAAAGGGCACTCAAGCTTCCTTCTGTTTGTGGTGTCAGCACACCACCTCTTAGTTCCTGCTCAGGTTCTCTCTCTCTTTCTCTCTCACACAGACACTCATTTGATATTTTGGGATACAGTTTGAATTTCTGACCTAGAATCAAAGTCTTGAAGAAGCAACCCCGGATAACATTTGAGTCAATAGACCACACTGCTAATCCGGTGGCGTGCCGTAGGATTTGAAAAATCTTAAACTCAAATGTCTAAGATTGAATTTGCAAATTTTAATGATCAAAATTTGAATTCTCTTAAATTTCACTGAACTAATTCTTGTCCAATTAGATCCCACTGAATATGATAGGGGATCCAAAGAACCACTAATAGTCCCTAATGAATATGATGGTTAATTATGAGAGTGCATATGTTTTCGTCATCATTGCTTGAATTAAGTTGTGTTAAGTTAGTATGGTAACTAAGTTAAAATTGACTTACAGTCATGTTAAATTTGTCGTATGTGATGAGCCTGTGCAGAAGTTGTGCACAGTTATCGACACATCTATCAATAAATTTGGCAAATCAACCAATTATGTCTCCAATCCATTAAAAGACTAAACGCAATACATCAGAATTTTTTGTGTCAATTCCACATCTGATTAATATATTCCTAAAGACATAACAACTCCAATTCTCACAAGAGATTTACAAACTTTAACCATCACTTTAATGGGTATAACAAAACCAGCTCTTTTAACATGATCATCTGCTGATCTTGTTGCATGTGACCTTTTCTCTCTCTGGTGATCTTCTTCTTTTATGGGTCCAATCTCATTTTGGATTTTCATTGTATTTGACGGGTGAGATTCTCTCTCTCTGCTGCAAATAACTTCACCACTATCAAGATAACTTCTGCCTGTTTTGAATTGTTTGTCCTCTAGTTTAAGACAGCTGTCTGTGGTGTGTTTTTTTGTGCATGTTTTAATCAAGAATACACAAAAAAACATTGTGCTACAAAATAAGAATTGCTACCCAACAGTACTAGAAAAGTTGTGCACCATAGTTGAGATATAAGATATGTAATCTAAACTTTTTTTTTTTGCTTATATTTATTTAAAGCAATTTTTCCTAGGTTATACGATTAGATATTATCAACGCGACCATCCCAATTTTTTTTAAAAAGTTCTTTTATCAAAATGTACGAAACTAACCATATTGTCAATGGTTTGCTCGTCCTTTGTGAAATTCTAATCTATTTCAATATTTTTCTTTTATATTTCAATAAATTATTTATAAATATATTATTGAAAGATCTACTTAATATACTATGACTCGCATTTAAATTTATTATAGGTAATATGTTAGAGGAAATTTCCCTCCTTAGCGGGCCACTGTGTGAATGACCATCTCTCAATCAAACTACGACATTATGGAACGGTCACAAACAGGAAAAGAAATGATTGGTGGGTGGTGGTCCAGCTTAACGCCCGTCACGGCATGATTGTCTGGTAACAGCCCTTAAGTTTGAATCGAATTTGGAAGAGAATTGCCCAAGTACAATTCGACCACGATGTTGTGACAATGGAGTTGATAATTCTTAAAAAGATTTGCAAAATTTTATACAAAACTAAGTAGTTCTAATGAAATCGGGTCATAATCAAAATGAATAATTAAAGTCATTAATAAATGTATAAATATGAATTTCGTTATGTGGATTATTTTCACAAAAAAATAAACAATGATAATGATATATCAAGTACACAACGCAAGTTTACCCAAAAAAAAAAAAAAAGAAGTACACAACACACAACCAACATGACACGAATCTTGTTATATATAGGGGTGTCTATAAGCTGAGTTAATTTTATGAAATTTTTTGATTAGGCCTGGGTAAAGTAGGCTAAGCCCTTATTCAGGTGAGTTATTGGCTGGGTTGGATAAGACTTTGGGTAGGGATAAGCTACTCAGAGTCCAACCTGTCACTCACTAGACAAACTTTTTTATATATGTATACAATTTTATTTAAAAAAAATTCAACTTAATATTTTTAAATTAAAAATAAAGTCAAAAATAAACAAATAATAAATAATAAATAATTTTATTTAAATAAAGTAGAGTCATAAATTGCTACCAAACTTTTAAATTTTCAGTGGTCAACTGTTTTTCCAAACAATTGGAGTGGAACGACGGACGGACTATTGGGCCAAGTTTTAATGGATTTTTGTGGGTGGGCTCATGGGCCGGGTTCGAGCTAGGTAATAGGTTTGAGGACAAACTCAAGTCTTCTCTAGGAAGATTATAGGTTCGAGCTTGAACGAGTCAATTATCGGGTCTATTGGGCCAATTATAGTCTATCAAAGATTGGGCCTATTTTTTTGGGCTTGGTAATGTAACTCTTGGGTTAACCCCACCCATGGACACCCCGACCCCAAATGGGTTCGAAATGGTTGACCACATTTTGAAATGCAGTTCACTGAAGGTAGCTTTTGCGGGAAAATCTATCAATTTAAGTCATTGTGCTCAGTTCTTTTTCTCTTGTATTCTGCAGCTAACGGAGTCCCAGTGGCACCGTCTCCGTCACCTGAAGGGCCTGCACCATCCGGTAACTTCTCCGGCCTCCTCGATTTAACTTATGCAATTCATTTTTATCATTTTCAAATTGTTTCACACAATGTGTGGTGAAGTTCTCTCAGTTGCTTCAAGGAAATGTTGCTGACTGGAAATTTTGTCAGGCAATGGATCGTGCTACGTTAGATTCGAATTTTCGTGCCTAAACTATCTTGTCAAATTTGTTCAACTAATACCCGATTAGTAGTCGGGTTCGTGTTGTGCATAAGTGGTTTCGTGTTAACTCATTCATTAATCTGAGAAAGGCTAGGAGACAGAATGTATGAGATGTAAACTACACAGGCTTGAACAGGACATATAGTCGTAATACTATATGTTAAGGGCTTTTTTGTACTAATTTTCTCAAAATTCCTTTGATTTGCATATCTATTTTCTTAACCAGGCGGTGGTACTTCCCTAGGATCCGGAAACAGTGACAACGGAGCTCCAAGAATAGCAGCCACTGATCTGTCCTTCCTCCTTGGCTTAGCAATTGCATTTGTTACAACATTCTTCTAATACAAATTTTTATATTGATATTATATTGTGTAATCGGATCTTTCTTGACGTATAACATGAATAATAATATACAGAACTTTGTGCTGTAATTTATTTCATGAACTAGATATAAGCACTATTATTGTTTCAGAAATGAGGATTCAATGGACTAGTGTCCTCAATTGTCTATGTTCTTAAGGTTAATTGTTGGAATATAAATAAAATTTTTGAAACTTCTTATTTATAGAAAATAAAACAAGATGAGTTTGAACAGGTTTTGTATTTTTATACACAGTTTTCGTTTAACTTTACACTGCTTTTATAGCACTTGTGTACACCAGTATTCCTATGATATTTCCTACGAAATAGATAGAGATTTGAATGAGTTTGAATTCTTCAGATGGTTGCTGGCAGTGGAAAGTTATCAAGAACAAGCTTTGTCGTATCATTATCTTCTATTCCAGAGTTATCACAAATTGAATTCCTCTTGAATAGTTCTTCAACACGCCCCCACAATCTCAAGGGGAGATCTCGGACATTGAGATTGTGTCAGAGATGTTTATAACGATTCCAGGATAGAGCTTTGGTCAGCAAATCTGGTAGTTGATCCTTGGATGAGATGAACTTGACCCGTAAAGTACCTCAAGTAACTTGGTCCCTGACAAAATGAAAATTAATTTCAATGTGTTTCGTGCTTGCATGAAACACCGGATTTGCAGACAAATATGTGGCTCCAATATTGTTGCAGTATAGTATTGGTGGTTGTCTAAGGGAAAGACCTAATTCACGAGTAACAGACTGAAGCCTATGCACTTCGGTAACAGTATTAGCTAGTGATTTGTGTTTAGCCTCGGTACTACTGCGTGCCACAGTCTGTTGTTGCTTACAACTCCATGAAATTAGGTTATTACCAAGAAAAACACAATAAGACTCTATTGATCTACGGTCATCCCTGTTGCCAGCCCAATCCGCATCTGTGAATGCTTGAAATTGAAACTGTGATTGTTTGGATATTATGAGACTGTAAGAAACAGTGTGCTTGAGGTAGCCTAGGATTCTTTTGACAGCCCGCCAGTGTGATTCCTTTGGCTCTTGCATGAATTTAACATTATTGGGATTGCTATTAGTTGCGTCCCTCAAATCTTGGTATAAGCGGGAGCATGATATACTGGTATGATGTTTTACTTTATTAAATAATGACTAATATAATTTAGGACAAGTACTAAAACAGACAATCCAACTCCCTCTCCCATGGGTATTTTTTTTTTTGGTCTCTTCCTGCCCCATCATTCATAGAGAAAGTATTTCTAATGCATAGTACTGCACATAAACCTCTAGAATTGTATTTTTTTTTTTTTTGAAAAAATTGATATAATAGGACTCTGTCCTAATCAAGTGTCATTTTCTGGACAATCTTTAGAACATGCCTGTTCAACCCCCCCGGGAGAAATTTAGGCTTTAATGTATAAAATTAAACTATGAAATTCTCTTTAATTACATTTTTGCCATTGTCACAGATGTGATTGCTCAAATATAAAAGTTGGGTTTAGAGCGATAACAACTACTCATCCAACTGAGTAATATAGTGTATATTTTAGCTAGACTTCTCAATTAGTATGTATGTAAATTTTTAAAAAAGAGTATTCAATTAGAGCCGGTGATGGTTGACACGAAGTCGTGGTCTCATTCAAACTATGCCCATTCCAAATTCTTTCCGGCATTTCAATACCCCCACCAACTTGAAAGCATTTCAATGGTAGTTATTGTATCACCCCATCAGTTTTTGTGCGTGCGTGTGTTTGGTTTTTTTGAAATATACAGAGATTGAAGGGTATATCTTTCTTTTAATTGTATTAATGTTGATCAAATTTTAGGACTAAATTTAAAACACAAATGACCTGACAGAATATTATTCAGAATTTTTATTGAGACTCAAATAACATGACACCAAATAAAGAAAGTTAAGTCAATTATCATGTCATTTAATCTTAAAATTTGATCAGCATTGCTTAATCTAAAAACCTATCGCAACCCCACCACACCTACCCACGCCCAATCATCTCTCAACCAGCACACTCCACCTATTCTCGTCTGTAAATAGCAACCCGGCAACCCTTAACCCCCTTCAACTTGCAGACATAGCTCCAAGTCCATCCCTAACCCTCTTCAACTTGCAGAGGCCGCCAACCATGGACATAGCAACCTTAGCAACCCCACCAAGGCAGGAATCCTTCGGTAGCAGACCCTTTACTCCTCTCTCCCAAACCAAAAATATTAACACTTAACACAGATGCTCGTAGCACCGCCTAAGGTCAACGTGAATCGAAACTGTAGTTGTCCAAGAAATAAAAAAATTGGAAAATTATAAAGATAAAGTTTGCAGAAAGGTGTATGCAGCGACGACGATTTTAAAATATTATTTAACAAAGTCATTCGGCATGTCATCATTAATGTCAAATTTTTATTTGTATAAAATTTATCAAAACGAACTTAATATAATATTATCATAAAATTTAATTTCGATCATAAAATTCAAAAATTAACTTCCCACAATAAAAATTAATTTGTGATACTATCAGGATCTACTATTCTCCCATTTGTGACATGAATGCAACAACTGCGAATAAATTTTCATAAGAAAATTAGTTTCACGTGATAAATATTTGTTACGACTCATGAGTCATTATGTTATTGATGATATAAATTAGGTTTGCAGTTAGAACTTATGGGAATTTCACTTTTTTTTATTCAAATAATGAAACTCATTCATTCATGTGTCTTTATCGACACCCATCTATAAGATTAAACTATCGTCTATTTGATTATCAATTGTAGTCCATTATCCTTTAAATACAATAGATAAGCCACACACACACACTCACATATATTTAAAATCTTAAGAGGCAAACGCCCCCCTTGGCCCCGAAAGGGCTCCGTCCCTGGGTGTATGGGAAAAAGAGCAAGACTTGTTCCACGCAATTCCCTTGTTAGACCTTTGTAAGCCAAACTCAACTGTGACGAGACAATACCATAAAATCTCATAAAATATTGGAATATATAACAGCCCCATTATTTGGAATATGGGTAAATTGTCCGTAAAGTTGATCACTTGTTGTAATTTTACTTTTTAAAATTTTAATTTCACCAATTTAATCCTTAAAATTCACACATTTAACCGTTATACTTTCTCACACTAACTTCCGTTTAAACAGTGGACGAAAAAATATCAAATGCGTTGCATGTGACACACCTATGTTTCTTTTGAACAACTTTAAATCAAAACCCAAACACGTTACTTCTTCCGCTATTCTCTACTCTTCTTCTAGATACTACTACTAAACCCCTTTATAATATTTATAAACTAGTTATTGTCTATGCCTAAAAGCACAAAATAATAAAAAAAATAGTCAATAGGAAATATATTTATATTCACATTTAAAATCAAATCACAAATATAAAAAAAAAAAATGAATTTAAGCACTAGTTATAGTGGGAGTGAGCAATGGTAGTGATGGTGGATGGTAGTGGCGGTGGTGTGGTGGCGACGGTGGGGATAGTGGTGATTGTCGTGGGGGTGGTGGTGGGGTGGTAGGGGTAATGGTAGGACAATGACGGTGATGGTAGAATGGTGACGGGAGTGGAGGTGACGGTGACAATGGTAGTGATGATGGTGGGGGTGGGGGGTAGTGGGGATAGTGGTGGTTGGGTGGTAAGTGGGGGTGGTTGTGGGGGTGGCGACGGTAGTGATGGTAGGGGCATTGATTGCGGTGGTGGTTGTTGTGACAGAGGTGGTGGTGGGGTGATAGTGACGAGGCGATGGTGGAGTGGTATGGTGGAGGCAACAATGATGGTGGCAGGGGGTGGTGAGACTGTGGGGCAAGGTGGTGGTGAGGCAATGAGTAGGGTGGTGACATTGGTGGTGACGACAGTAGTGGTATTGGTTGTGGCAGAAGTGGTGGTGGGGTGACGACAGTGGAGGTGGGTAGTGGTGATGGTGGTGGTGGTAAGGGAGAGAGATAGCGGTGGTAGGGGTGGGGTGGTGGTGGTAGTGGTAGTGGTGGTAGGGCGATAGGGGTGGTAATGATAGTGATGGTTCCAAACATTATTTTGTTTTAAAGTATTTATGAGACATTATAAGTATTAAAAACACTTTTAAAAAGTCACTCAAAACACACCCTTATGACCATGTTTTTTCTATTAAATTTGGAGTATTAATATTAGTTGTTTGATTAATTTTGAAATAAAATTTAAAAAGATCTCAACCGCGAATAGCAAAAAGTCATATTTTTATCTTTTAAGATTTGAATTGTATTGTTCTTTATTATATAGACTAGTTAATATCCCGTGCCTGAAGACACGGAGTAATAAAAATGGTCAATAATAAATATATTTGTATTCACTTCCAAAACTAAATTACAAAGATAAAAGAGAGAAAATAGAATTTAAGCACAAGTTGTGGTGAGGGTGAACGGTGGTAGTGATGGTGGGCGACAGTGGTGGTGGTGAAAGATGGTAATAGTTGTGGAGGGGTGGCAACGACTGTGGTGGTAGTGGCAATTGTGGGTGGCAATAGTGCTGGTGGTGGGCGACGATGATGGTTGTTGGTAGTGGTAGTGGTGGGGTAGTGATGGTGGTGGGTGACGGTGGGCAACGAGCGGTGGTGAGTTATGGTAGTGAGTGGCAGTAGGTGGTGGCAATGGGCAACGATGGTGGTGGGGCGACGATAGTAATGGGTGATGATGGTGAGATAATGATAGTAGTGATAATAAATATAAGAATGAGATGGTGATGGTGATAGTGGTGGCGGTGGGCAATAGTGGTAATAATTGGTGATGAATGTCGAGAATGGTGGTGAGTGATGGGTGGTGGTAGTGGCGATAATAGTGGTTGTGGTAAAGATGGTGGTGGGGTGGTAGTAGCGGTGGTGGTGGCTGCTATGGGGTGGTGGGGGCGGCGACGATGATAGCGACAGCGACGACAACAGTGGTTATGGCAAATGTGGTGGTGGAGTGGTGGCGATGGCAGTAGTGGTGATGGTGGTAGGAGTTAGACAGAGACGGTGGTGGTTAGGGTGGCAATAATGGTGGTGGTGGTGGGGTGGCGGCAACAGTGGTGGTGGCAGTTGAAGGTGGTGGTAGGATGACGACAACGATGATGGTGGTGATGGGATAGTGGTGGCGATACTGGTAGGGTGGGGTGTGGTGTTGGTG